TGTGTACCTTGCTGGCTGGGGCTGATGGGAGCTGGAGTCCAACCACACCTGCAGGGCAACAAGTTAACCATCCCTGCTGATATCTAAAGCCCACAGGGGAATAGGTTCCCTGGGGAAAATGTCCTTGGGGCAGGGGGAGATACTGCTATGAAGATCCTCCTAGGTCCTCACAGCTGCATATACTTTTTCCAGTCAAGGGTAAACTAAGCAAAGCAACTCCTGCAAACTGCAAGGGTATGCAACCCAATTTTCTCCTTGATCTTCCAGCAGTAGCAGCTCTGATGCAAAACTATTCCATCCACAAAGGGAGTGGGGAGATTATCCCATTCACTTAAGTGGAGAGGTAGCTTTGGTGCTTTTCACACTCTATGTGAAGCAAAGGGGGAAACCTATTCCACATGTGAATAAACAGGGCCTTAAAATGGATGCACAAAAAGAAAGGGGAAACATACACATTTTTTGGTTTTGCACTAGATGTGTTTGGTCAAGGGTACTTTTAGCTGGTCAATTCCCATAGGCTAAAATGTGATCTTTGCTTCGAAGATGTAACATTCTGTGACAAAAGGGGGAGGGGGAGAACAGCTAGGAGTCAGTCTTGCAAAACAAAACATTTTATTTCAACCTTTTATCAGACTGAAGTGATGATCTAGATTAGAAGCTTAGTGTGGTGCACCAGGTTGTTTTCAGTTAAATCCTCCAAGCAAATAATCACAATGCACTTAAAAATATGATTATTATTCATGGCATCTCACATTCCCAAAAAACAACCAACTCAAAGAAACAAACAAACAAACAAACAAAACACCCCAAACAAACAGAAACATCAAGCAAACCACCAAGGCACAATTAATAGATGAAGGGAACGCCGTGGATGTAGCCTACCTTGATTTCAGCAAGGCATTTGACAAGGTGCCCCATGATATTCTTGTAAAGAAGCTGGTAAAATGTGGTCTTGACTATGCTACCACTCAGTGGATTTGTAACTGGCTGACTGACCGAACCCAAAGGGCGCTCATCAATGGTTCCTCTTCATCCTGGAGAAGAGTGACTAGTGGGGTGCCACAGGGTTCTGTCTTGGGCCCGGTCTTATTCAACATCTTTATCAACGACTTGGATGATGGACTCAAGGGCATCCTGATCAAATTTGCAGATGACACCAAACTGGGAGGGGTGGCTAACACCCCAGAGGACAGGATCACACTTCAAAACGACCTTGACAGATTAGAGAACAGGGCCAAAACAAACAAGATGAATTTTAACAGGGAGAAATGTAAAGTATTGCACTTGGGCAAAAAAAATGAGAGGCACAAATACAAGATGGGTGACACCCGGCTTGAGAGCAGTACATGTGAAAAGGATCTAGGAGTCTTGGTTGACCACAAACTTGACATGAGCCAACAGTGTGACGCGGCAGCTAAAAAAGCCAATGCAATTCTGGGCTGCATCAATAGGAGTATAGCATCTAGATCAAGGGAAGTAATAGTGCCACTGTATTCTGCTCTGGTCAGACCTCACCTGGAGTACTGTGTCCAGTTCTGGGCACCACAGTTCAAGAAGGACACTGTGGTGGAGTCTTCTTCTTTGGAGGTCTTTAAGCAGAGGCTTGACAACCATATGTCAGGAGTGCTCTGATGGTGTTTCCTGCTTGGCAGGGAGTTTGACTCGATGGCCCTTGTGGTCTCTTCCAACTCTATGATTCTATGATTCTATGATATGAAATTGCTGCCACCCAGTCTTTTGCTCCCATCTTGAAGCTGTGGCAGTGAGTTTTCCTTTTGCCCTGTCATTTCGTATCATGATTCAAAAAACATACAGAAGAGAAGCTTTCCAGCAGCTGGAAGGCGGGTAGGGACCCAGAAAGGAAGAAAAGAGAAGTCCTCGACCATCATGTCCTTAATCATCTTGCTGTGGTCACCATCTACATTTGAATCCCAACTTGGTTATATATGTTAAAGCAAGTGGTTTTTCTGAGGCTTGTTTTTCTAACAAGGGTGCTAGAAACTAAACTAAGCATTAAGGCCTTGAGAGCAAAGAAAAGGTCGGACTTCCGGGTTAGCGCCATCGGCGAATGGCGGAGTTCCTCCGACCGGAGGAACTGGCTCCGTGGAAACTGGGTCTTCCCGCCGCGGCGAAGGTGGGGACCCGCTAGAAATCCCAGGCGGAGGAAGCCTGGGAACGTGGGGTTCGGCAGGGCACCAGGAGTGCCCCCCCTACACACCGGGAACCCCATTTTGGGGCTCAGGAGTGAAGTGGGGTGAGCGGCGCGGTGCTGCGAACCGACTGCTACTTTCACGGAGTGAAGCTGCACAGCCATTGCCGGAGAGCGCTGACTTTTTCCTGTGGACAATTGGATTTAAAACAAGTACCCGTGAGTAGAAACGGAAAATTGGATCAAGAAATATTTTAATTTGGCACCGAAGCGGGAAGGTTCAAAACAGGAAGTCCGCCTTCCACGTTTGTACATAGACTGAAGCAAAAACCCTGTAAGCTAAAGCCTGGAAAGTCGTTAAAAAAAGTTTAAATTTCCTTCATTTATAATTACTGAAACCCCCTTGGAAGCAGGAGAAAAGGGGGGGGGGACTTTGTTTAACGCCTGCAGGAGAGGGAGTGAAGAAAGATAAGTTTCCACCGTCTCTAACCTGGGAACGGGGTGTCAGAGACAGAAATTCTTGGAGAGGTTCATTAACTGTGAATGGAATACTTTGACAGATAGCTAAAGAAGAGAAATAAATTGATTCCAATGTTGCATTCTGCATTCTAAAGAAACAAAATATCTGAAAAACGAAAGTAATTTTCCTTTGTTGGACTTGCCTTAAACAGATGGATACAAATAGAAATTGTCTCCTCTAGAGGGAGCTTGCTAAATTGTCGCTGCAGTCTACTTGAGGACTCTACAGCTGTCAGATTAAGATCGTGGGACCAGGCCTTTTTGACCTTGACTAAATATGAGCTGGGAGGAAATTTTGGTGCTTGCTTTATGCAAGACAAGTGCCTTGCTGGAACAGATGCATGAGAAGATGGATTTGATGAATGAGAAAATGGATTTGATGACTGATGTGGCTAAAAACTGTGGACAAACAGGGAATATTGATACAGAAACTATTCAGGGACCAACTCAGGAACCTGTACTGATTGGGCAAGTGCAGAAGATAATGGAGGAGGTTGCGGTTGCACCTCAAATAATACAAATGGAGAGACCCGAGGCCCTACAGGAGCATAAGCCGCTGTCTTTGAAGATTGAAGATTTGAAGAATAAGTATTCTTGCTGCTGTTGTGGCATACATAAAGAAAGTTCTGTCCTTCTTTGGCACCAATTGGCCGACCATGCCCAGGAGAAAGGCCTCTGGTTTCTTCAGGAAGGTATATTTATATACTTTTTTCATTTCGTTATAAATCATCTCCCAGAAAACCTTAATCCTTGGGCATGTCCACCACAGGTGAAAGAATGTACCTTCAGTTTCTTTACATTTCCAACATTTATTATTGGGCAAGTGATAGATTTTTGCAAGCTTGACTGGTGTCATGTACCACCTGTATATCATTTTCATAATATTCTCTCTTAAGGCATTACATGCCGTAAACTTCATACCTGTGGTCCATAACTGTTCCCAGTCAGCCATCATTATGTTATGTCCAACATCTTGTGCCCATTTAATCATAGCAGATTTCACCGTTTCATCCTGAGTATTCCATTTCAGCAGCAAGTTATACATCTTTGACAAAATCTTAGTTTTGGGTTCTAACAGTTCTGTTTCTAATTTTGATTTTTCCACCTGGAAGCCAATTTTCTTCGAAATATGTTTTTAAATATTTTTTGGACTACATTGATGACTGTGGGGAGTGGGACTCTGGGGAATGGGCTGGTTGGATGAAGGGAGACAAAGATAATTTTGGGTTGGAATCCCCCAGAGACCTACTCCCCAATGAGAAAGGAAAGAAACTAAGAAAGAGACCAACAAAAGACAAGGAAAAGTGCAAGTATAAACAAGAAGAAGAAGATCTGCAGAAGGGACATGGAAGAGACTTAAGGGCCTCGGACATTAGATTACCAGGTTGATGGACTAGATGGAATGGACAGTAAGGACTGACACGACCCGAGACCAGGAAGAAGAGACGTTGGATGAAGATTGGAAGAAAATTTATAAAGAAACTTTTTTTCTAGGGAATTAGCCTAAAATTAATGAACATTAGGGAAAATGTTGGAATGAAACTATATGACTTTAGTAGAAAAGATATCAGGAGTTATGTATAATCGAGTATTAAGTGTTAAGCTCTAAAGTATTTTTTGGTAAGATAAGGTTAAATAACTTAAGGTAATTTGAATAACAGAATATGAGGAAAGGATGAAAAGGATTTGCTGAGTTAATTAATAGGTAAATTGTTAAGATAAATTATTTAGTAAAAATTGAGAAAGATGGAAAGAATTTGCTGAAATAATCAATTAAACTAGAATACAAAAAGGGAGGTGTGAGGAGGTCAATGAAACAAGCAAATGGAAGTTAAAGATATGTAATATGGGATTTGTGTCCTTTTCCCCCCCCTTCCTTCTTTTTTTTATCTTTTTGCTGTATTGTTGCATTGGTTTTTATATCTTTTTGCTGTATTGTTGCATTGGTTTTTATGTCTTTTTTTCTTGTTTTTTCTTTTTTTCCCCCATGTATTGTAGTGTTGTTTTTAATTTTTTTCTTTCTTTTTTGCAATTTTGAAATTATTAATAAATATTATTATTTTTTAAAAAAAAGAGCAAAGAAAAGGTCAAAAGAATAGGCTCAGTAAGGGGGAAATGGTCTTTATTAGGGGAAGCAGAACCTTCACAAAACACTTTTCCTGCTGAGGCTGGAGGCTGGTGTCTTGTTTTCAGCTGGCTGAACCTGGGGAAGAATGAAACATTTCAAGTTAATGGAAAGTACCACTACAAGTGATAGTAGCAATTGGCAGTAAATGGTTTTGGGAAACACAATGGCCAACTTCTCAGTGAGATGGAAAACCTGTGTTGGGGAAGAGCCATGGTTTGGTGGTAGAGCATCTGTTTGGCATGCAGAAGGTCTCAGGTTCAAGCCCTGGCATCTCTAGGTAGGGCTGGCAATGTCCCCTGCATGAGACCCAAGAGCTGCTGCAAGACAATGTAGATAATACTGAGCAAAATGAACCATTTTAAGGCAGCTTCCCGCATTCCATCACTGCTTAGCCACTTCTGCCAGAAGCTTTTCCCGGCATATAGAAAATTGGCATGCCAAGGAAGAGAAAGCTGCACCCTTATTGTAAACATATAGGCCTGGTTTACTTATTTATGCAATTTGTGTGACATTAAAAAACAAAACAAAAACACCTTCCCAAAAGTTTACAAGCCAGATGTTAAACATACCGAAATATACAATTTAAGTTATCACTGAGGTGGGACAGAGAAGTGCGTACTGGCTGAAGGGAAGGCAAAGGCAAAGGAGATAGCACGGCTCAGGAACAGTTAATTGAAAGAAGTAGTTACTGAGGGGAGAGGCCCCACAGGTTCAATCCCTGGTATCGCCATGAACAGAGGATCAGTAAGTGATGGAAAAGACCATACTGAGGTAGACTGATGAAAGGTGTTAATTGCCCTGCCCTAACCTGTCCCTTTAAGGTGCCTAAGCTCTCTAGTCCTCCAGTGTGTCCAAGTGGAGAGATCATGTCTCTCTTCCAATGTGCATGTTGCAAAAAAACCTTACAGTCTAGCAGGGAAGCTGAACCATTTTAAGCAGCAATTAACCATGTGGCAGCCCCATCTCCCAACTTCCAAGGCAGCATTAACAGCACCCTCCCAGCTACTGTGTAGTCACTCCAACTAACTGCTCAGAAACAATCAGAGGCCACGTGGATCTAGAGCTCTTAACAGTGGAATGTTGCCAATACTCCTTTGTCCCTCATCCTGCAACAAACTCCAGAGGCTACCAAAAGAGTATGTTTGGCCAAGTATAGGATTAAATTGGCCAATGTTCTGGTGTAGTGCTTGATTTTCCTCTTGATTGTGTGTGTACTTGCTGGGTACATGCTACTCAGAGTATTATCTCACACAGGAAACGTACTGGAAACAAACTCCTTTTGCAGAAACAAGAGTTAATAAATTTGCAACTACGAATGAAACTCAAGAACTCAGTGGATGTTAAATAAAGGATGGTGATCAGAATTGCTGTAAATGGATCAATCAAGATTTTGAAAGCAGGAAGGAATAAGAACATCACATCCTGAAACCCTGTGCACAGGAAGTCACCTCAAATTGTTTAATTCAGGTTTTGAATAATTGGCTCTGTTTTTAATTGGATTGTAATTTGGTATTGTGATAATGCAGCTTTTATTTGATTTGTATTAAAATTAATAAAAATTATTATACCATGCTACTCAGAGTAGATTTATTGAAATTAAGTTACTTAGAACATCAAAAGCAGCAGAAATATGAGATGATTGGACCCTCACTGAACTCGAAACATGGGAACCCCCAACAAAATTTAAAATTCGGCAAAATATTTGGACTTTATAATATGTATTGGTATAATTCGGAATAATTAATGTGATATGATTGGATTGTTAAATGGAAAACTTAATAAAAATTAATAATAATAATTTAAAAAGAAATTAAGTTACTTATGTTAGCTTATCCATCAATTTCCATTGGTCTGCTCTGTGTAGGACTAACACTGAATACAACCTGCTCTTTCTTCCCTCTCTTTCTATACTCCACTTAAACAAACTGTTTCATTGGATTTCTGGGCTGTACTGATTTCTGTACACATTCAAGGGCTGGTTGTCCCTCACAACATTGCTTAGACCATTTGGACTGCTCTACTGGTTTAAAGTGCCAGACAGATCAGCAGGGGTGGTGGGGCTGAAGCTGCCATGCAGGATACTTTGAATTTACCTGGCAGTCCCCCTACTCTCAAGAAGGCCACTGTAAGACAGTGAGAATCCTGCACCCTTGCCTTGGGTGACAAATGAGCAGGTGATGGCAAGAAGAGGAAGATGTAGAATGTGTTACCTGTTACTAGTGAGCTCCTCTACCAAACTTGCACTACAGCAGGGTATTTCCAACCTTCACATAAGTCACTTTCTTTTCTTTTTTTTTAAGCATGATTTTTATTGAGTTTTAAATATTTCATTTCATTACACAAATCCACAGCTTACATTATTACTCAAAAAGAGCATCAACCTCCTTCCCTCCCTCTTTTCTGACTTCCCTATAACTTTAACGTATCTATAGCATTTCTATAATCACTTCTTTACCTTATATCAACTTTTAAGAATCACCCTCTCATTTGTAAATTAGCTCCTTCATTCCACATTACCAAACATTTCATGTTAAAGCTACAAACGTTCTCAAGTATTTACAATTTTCTTTCAAATAATGAATAAATTTGCTCCAGTCCTTTTGAAACCTTTCATTGGGTTGATTCCTAATTTTCCCTGTCAACTTCGCCAACTCCACAAATTCTACCATCTTTATCTGCCAGTTATCCAGGGTGGGATGTTATTGCTGTTTCCATCTTTGGGCCAGGAGAATTCTTGCTGCCGTTGTGGCTTACATGAACAAATTTACATCTTTTTTGTGGATTTCCTCGCCAATTAACCCCAATAAAAATGCCTCTGGTTTTTTGTTGAAATTATATTTCAATACCTTTTTTAATTGATTATAAATAATGTCCCAGAAGGCCTTAACCTTAGTGCAGGTCCACCAGATATGTAGGAAGTTCCCTTCCTTTTCCCTGCATTTCCAACATAGTTTATCCTGACACCTATACATTTTGGCAAGTTTACTAGGCGTAATGTACCAACGATGCATCATCTTCATTAAATTCTCTTTAAGTGCCACACATGCAGTAAATTTAATTGTTTTATTCCACATTACTTCCCACCTCTCAAAGTCAATATTGTGCCCCAAATCCTGTGCCCATCTTATCATCACACGCTTTACCTCCTCGTCCTTTGTATTCCACTCTAATAATACCTTATACATTTTTGATACCATTTTCTTTTTACTACTCAGCAGTTCTGTCTGGATTTTTGACTGAGTGTTACCAAATCCATTACTTTTGTAGTCTTTCCTGAAAATATCTTGCAATTGGTGATACTGTAACCAATCAGATAATTTTCCTCTCAACTCTTCAAATGATTTTAGCTTTAATTTGCCATCCATTTCCACCAATAAATCTCTATATGTCGCCCATTCCTTTCCCATATTTTCCTTTTTTACTGCAAATGCCTCCAATGGTGAAATCCACCACGGTGTTTTGCGTTCTAACATATTTTTGTGTCTAGTCCATACCTCATACAGGGATTTTCTAATAATATGGTGCAGAAACCCTCTATGTACTTTTACCTTTTCGTACCACAAATAAGCGTGCCACCCGAACCTGTTATTGAATCCCTCTAAGTCTAATACCTCCTCATTATCCAATGCTATCCATTTACGCAGCCAACAAAAGCAAGATGCCTCCTAATAGATAGTTTTGAAGCACAGACCCTCATGGATCCTCATGATTTTTGCACTAGATCAGCCCGAAGTCACCACCAGATCAAATATCATGGCCATGATCACAGCATGCACCACAAAAATCACGGATCCACGGCTAACTGGCGACACCATGGCCCAAAAACGTGGTTTTGAAGCACGGATCCTCGTGAATCCTCACGCTTTTTGCATTGGGCCACCCTAAACTCACCGTCAAATCACACATTGTAGCCAGAGGAACAGCCTGCACCACAAAAAACTCGGGTCCACAGCTTTCTGGTCGTACCGTGGCCCAAAAACATGGTTTTGAAGCACGGATCCTCATGGATCCTTAGGTTTTTTATGTTTGGTTACCCTGAAATCACTATCAAATCACACATGATGTATATGACCACAGAATGAACCACAAAAACCACAGAGCACAGCCAAGGAACAAACACTATATTAAATACTTTGATCCTCATGGATCATCATGATTGTTAAATGGACTCCACCAAATTACATTGTAAGATCACACCAATGTCCATGGAATGACCGAAATAAAAACTCTAACTGAAATTGTTCTGCATTATCAAGAACATTGTATTAAAATGACATTCATATCCATAGCTTCCACTGTGAAGAATTGCACCTGGAAATTTTTGACGCTGCCAAACTTCAAGAATATCCAAGGCAGAGATTGTGATGAATGTAAATTATCAAACCAACTAGATGGAGACCACCAAAGTAACCATGAAAAGCAATCATCTGTCTTGCGTCAATTTAGCTACAAATGGTTTTGGGACACGCGCTTCTTGAAGGAAATCTCAAAGCCTCGCCCAGTCAGCTGTGGGACGCTGAGCAAATTGTCTGCAGAATCTGGAACAAAAAGTACTTCGCTGATGGTTGTATGCAGACTTGCCAGTTTCACTGTCCCGACTCCTGCAACTCTCAACGTCTTACCATCCGCCTGTTGGATTTCTCCATCTTGAGGCATGAAGGAAATAAACAAGTGCCGATCCTTCGTTACATGCCTTGTCGCTCCAGAATCGAAAATAAATCTGCCTTTGGCCTTTGGAGCAGCAGTGCCAGCAAACAAAGCCTTGCTTTCCACCTGCTTGGGCTGCTGCTTGCCCCCCTGCTCCTGGCCATCTGCAGGCTTTTGTCTCTGTTTACCTTTCACCTTTACATTTCTGCGAAGATGACCTTGATTTCCACAGGAAACAGAGCTCTCAGCTGCCGACTCCTTGACTCCCCCTGGAGGTTGGAATGCTGTCTGGGATAACATCACAGTCAGCTCTCCCTGCAGCTTGCAACTGGTGCCCTCGGCATCCCTGCGATCACATGCAATCTGGGAAACAGCCAGGACCTCCGACGCAGTCAAACTCTGTGCTGGAAATGCTGCCAGATCGGCTACTTTCAAAGCATTCCACATCTTACTTCCCCATGTAGCGGGTTAGGTTGAGACTGCTGATCCAAAGTGATCAGTAATTTTTACGGTAATTACAATCTTGCTTTCCCTTGATTTCAGTAAGGCCTTTGAAAAGGTCCCCCATGATATTATGGCAAAAAAACTAGTAAAATGTGGGCTAGACAAAGCTACTGTTAGGTAGATTT